TAGTGTTGATGATTTGGGGCTCGGGTGCGAGGAATCCGAGAGTGCAGGGTTTCGGGTTTCACTGTTTGGTGTATATGGGACTTTCCGAAAATTAGGGTACAGTATTTTGGGGTCCTTATAACATCATATTAGGGTCCCCTATTTTCGGAAATCCCCATATGTGGGCCTGAACAGCTACGAACAGTATGCTTTCGGGTTCAGTATATTCGTGTATAGGGCAATTCAACCCCCGTCTTAGATGTCATGCGACAAAGGCTGTCCAGCTCAGAAATCAGGGCTTTTGTGGGTGCTAGGGCCAAGGGCCTGGAATTTGGGGCATTGAGATGCATTGAGGATTTGATTTCGGGCTTGGGGTCTCGTATGTTGTTCTTTGCCTTTCTTTCTACTTCTACTCCACTCCACACTCCTTTCTGTGAGTGCATCTCTTTAAGCCCAACTTTGCTTGCCCTGGTACGCATTTGGGGTCTTGAACTCTTCAATCGGCGCGTAAGGCATTGGGTCTCCGAAGTGCTGTGGCTACTCTCGGACTCAGTCAGACTTGGCCAGTGCCCCGAAGTCCTGAACCCTGAAACTCAAATCCAAGTATCCACCCTGACGAGTAATTACCCGCAACATTCAGAAAAGCAAAGAACATATACTATACTATACTATACTATACTATACTATACTATACGATACTATACGATACCAAAATACACTAAAATTAAAATACACCATAATATGACAGGAACCCTCAAGTTTTTCGCCGGTGCCCAAAATCATAAACAGCGGCCTCTTCTTGGAGCCTTGGACCCCAAGCCGTGTTGACTTTCAACCGGTTCAGTGACGAAAGACAGAAGGGTAGCTATACTTATAATCCATATTAGGGGACCTATAACCCCTTTTAGGGGACCTGTCAACCCATATCAGGGGACTTATATTATAACCCTATTTGGGGACCTGTAACCCATCTTACTGAGAAAGCATGGACCACGGAGGCGCAGGAAGGACCCTGCTACCTGCTACTCGAATCCAGACAACCATCCCCAGGTATTTGGAATATTGCCTGTCAATCCGGGAGCAATCCCTCAGTCCCTGGCACGCCTACAACGATAGAATCCCTTGAATGTGAAATCTTGGAGTGTTCGACACTAAATCAAGAAGTCCAGAGGGGCTGGTCCGGACGCGGGTTCGCTGATTACTCGGGAGGGGCAGCTATTGCAGGTCAAGCGGCGTGGCCCTGCAATTCCAGAGAAGACAGATCCCCGGGCACGAGTCCTCATCGGCGCCTGCCTTCGCAACTTGCTGCGAAGGTTTCTATAATCATGAGGACCCTTGGGGGTAAGGGGGAGGGTGCCGGGAGACCCAATGATTGTACAGACCCGTTAAAACACCCGGTGAAGGCAGTACTACAAGGACTTATGTCGGTATAGTTTGAAACGAAGGTGTCGTTCTTGTACGGGGCTCAGGTGTGTCCAGAGAGCATGACAGGATCTGACAAGGTTGCGGATAGGACAGGTATGCATATTGAATCTAGTGGAGTTCGGTAATCTTGGGATCTCGGTTTGGGGTTCCACGGCTTGTCTAATCTTTGTGAAGAAGCGACTGCGTGCATGGGCAACCGAGTTTTGTCGCCATGAATCTTAGCGGCTTAGCGATGGGCGGGTGCCGTTCTGAATTTTGAGTGGCACATGCCGGCACCCCTCCTTCAACACCAGCGCCGGGCTAAAGAAATCCAGTCTCCTCTCGGACTCTGCTCCGTGAGACTTGAATCGCAAAGGCTCTATATCTATAGTAATCTATAGACATATTATTTTATCTTATCTTAGCTTATCTTATATGATATCGTCCTATCTTATCTTATCTTGTCTTGTCTTAACCTATCTTATCTTAGATTAACTTGTTTTGTATGTATACATACATATCATATGTATTTTGTAAGTATAATACACACACATATATTTATATAGTGTATAGTATATTATATAAGAAAAAGAAATATACACAAATAAACATATATATATATATATATATTTGCCTCCTGAGAATGCACCCAGGGCTGTCGCCGAAAGTTCGTCCCAGCGCAGACATGCTGCTGGAGGTCCTCTCCAGCCAGTTTGGATGGCGTCTGCTCTTCTTGTGTAGTTCTCCGTGATGTTGTGCAGTTTCACGTGACTTTGTTGTGTGGTCAGGTGGGTTGTATTTAACATCAATCGCTGCCGTGCGCAGGCGATCGGAGGCATTTGCCCGGAGGCATCGAGCAGCCAGGAGGCACTCTCAGCGCGGCGTTTTAGCTGGTTTTGCGGCTACTAGTATCACAGTATCATCGTCACAATTCCCAAATCTTCTTGTGAGTATGAGTAGTCGCTCCGACCACAAATGAAACCTGCTGATGCCAGTTCTCATGCTGATCATGCCGACCGCGAAAATCGACATAATTCGATGTCCCATACCCTATGCCCCAGACTGCATGTAGAGCTAGAACTGAACACGCCTTGAATCTCAGAATGCCGAGATGGCAGATCCCAAGCTTTCAGCCTGCGGAAACTGGATACCTCGGCTTGCTGGCCTCACTGCCACGAACGTGCTTGTGGATCCAGTAGTCAAGTCCTGGTTACAAGCATATCAGAAACTTGGAATAAAGTGATCGGATCCCTATCCTACGTGCCCGTGAACGGGAGTATGCTGCATGCAAACACGCGCAGACTGAGAGCAGACTGAGATTGTGCAGAGAGTGAGATTCACTCGCTTGTCCGTGCTGTATGGTCGATGGACGTCCACAAAGAGTCGACCACTGCAAATGCCGAAACTCCGGATGCCTGTGAAGCTTGACTTTCTCGGGCTGGGCCCTTCCTTCGTTTGACCTTCAACCCATTCAACCCTAAACCCTCCACCCTCTAAACCCTATAAAGCCCTAAACCCTAACCCCTAAACCTTGAAAATGGTGCCATGTTCTCGATGTGTTTTTCCGGATCTGGAAAAGAGTCTCCCGGCTTTCCGTCTTCGTTCCCGGCGTCCTAGTTCTCCCTGTAAAGGGAGTAGTCGGTGTAGCGTTTTGGGATGTTTTAGGCTGCTTCTTCATCCCCTACACCCTAAACACAAAGCCCTAAACCCTAAACACAAAACCCTAAACACAAAACCCTAAACCCTAAACTCCAGTTTGTTTTTCTTCGCCTTGACAGGCCGGCCAAGTCTGACGGTTCCTGGCAATGTGATCAAGCAGGTGGGCCAGGGAGTGTGGCTCGAGAGGGTTTAGGGTTCAGGGTTTAGGGTTCAGGGTTAGGGTTTAGGGCACCGGAGGGCAAGGGAGGTGTCATAAAACACAACTAAAAACAGGAATGTAGCGCACACACATATGTCATGTGTTTGTAAATACAAGCATATAGGCAAGCATGTAAGACTCGACACTTGTAAACACGTATGTGTGTATGGACCGACCGCCGGACGGAGGGAGGGATGGATTCAGGTGAGTGTTTATGTCTGTGTGTGTACATGCATCTATGTACGCACGTGCGTTTGTGTATACGTAGGTTGGTAAGTTGGTGCTTTGGTAGGCAGGTAGGTATGTGCGTAATGTATGTAGTGTAACTGTATTTATGTGCATGTGATGTGTGTAAGTACTGAGGGAAGAAGTTCCATGATGGAAGGCATTCGTGGACCCGTCGCAACATCCGTTCAAGATGTGAAAAAACCTTCGCACTGCAGAGTCTGGGCTTCTGGATACCATGGCCCGGACAGTTGGGGTGAGGTTGAGCCATTGCAAAAATATACACTTTGCCAAGAAACCCTACTTTGGAACACCCTAACTACACCCTAACCTGCACTGATTCAACAACCCCCAGTTCAGGTCCAGTTGCTTTAAGAGCTTCAGGCCGCTGCATTCTACCGTCCTAGGTTTAGCTGCGAGAATTCGGCTTCTTTTGCAGGGATGCGTTGCGTGTCCTTGCCTGAAGGAGTACTGCAGCTCCTGGAATTAGGAACGAGGTCAGATCGAAATCGAATGAAGTGCTGCAGTACCTCCATTGGTTGCCTCCTTAAGCGGGTCTGCTGATAGATTCTGCCACCTTTGCCCCAGATCGTCTTAGGCTGCAGTTTCTGCAGGCTTCCTTCTCATCGTGGGATCACGTTGGCTCCGGTTTAATCACAGTTGCTCCGGTTTACCCCGAACCACCCTAAGACTCAGGAAGACCCAGCTGAATTCAACATCTTGGGACTACTCGGACCTTGGAAAAGGTCAGGGCTTGGAAGCCACCCGCCTTCCACAGGCTGTGGGGCTTACTATAGGGGCCTGACTAATAAGCATGAATATCGCCGTGTCATCCCTTTGTGATTGCGGTAGAACATGGCCCATTCAAGGTTGTAGGGTACGGGTTCGAAGTTTTGGGAGCAGATCTGCTTTATCAGAGCTTACGACAGCAAAATCCGGTGGATGCTGGTGGCGGGTGGCGTTGGGAGAGTGTCCGAGCCCAGGAGTCAGTCCTCAAAATACTTCCCCTGCATGAAACTAAGAGCTTCCGGCGGCGGTTCTCCGTATCAGATGCTGAAGGGCCAGCTGCTGAGGCAAAGGCCTTGTGAGCTTCAATCGAAGCTGTTTCACTGGCCAGTGACACGCCGGCCAAGATCAGAAAACGGAGTGTTGCACTTGGCATGCTAGACACTATATTCCACGGGAAATCCCGTGCAACAGAACCAGCCCTTGCAGGTGGGAGTGTGCTCTGTAAGCTGTGTGACAACTGCTGCGTTATGATCCGCATCATCGCATCCACCCATGGCGCAGTATCCCACTCAGAAGCATGCTTAGCGATGCCAGGCGGGTCATCCTCTTCGTAAATGCAATTTCCTCCGTGCAGCGACTGTCATCGGCACCCTGGCTTCGAGAAAGGGCCCTTTGTCAATGCGAATCGAGGAAGGGCTTAAGCTAACCACCCTTTTCGGAGTTCTATTCTGTAACCCTTTTCGAAGTTCTATTCTGCAACCCTTTTCGGAGTTCTATTCTGCAGCGCAGTCTCAATAAGGATGGAATCCGAGCTAGCTAGCGTCAAACTCCTTCGTCGCCTAAGGCCTGCAGCCGTGAACCAGAGCAGGGTAGTTGTCGTGGTTTTGTAGCACTGTCCTGAACTGGTGGTAATGCAAATGAGATCGGAATATGATGATGATGATGATGATGTGGTGGTGGTGGAGGAGGAGGAGGATGGTGAGGGTGAGGGTGATGGTTATGGTGATGGTGGTGATGGTGGCGATGAATGTATTGATGATGGTGATGGTGATGGGGAGGAGGATGAGGATGAGGATGAGGATGATGACAGTGATCATGGCGATGAGAATGATGCCGGTGATGGTTACGGTTAGTGTGACGGTCAACGAGTTGAAAGATGCAGTGACAGATAGTCGGCACATGTTGCTCAGCTGCCTTCTTGATTTTGGTGTTTGCGATCCACTGTGATGTGGGAAGCTCGGAAGGCAGCTGATTTCATGAGTTGACTTCATCCAAGCTAAAGCCCATCCTGCCATCCCTATTTCCGGGTCTGCCCGGAGCCCAAAAATCCTGAATGGCCGTTAGTTGCCCAAAAACCCCTAGTTGGCAGCTCGAGGTGCTGTCACTCCTCCTGGAGAGTCCTAGCGCCAGCAAGGTGCCGGGACATGGGTCTAAGGGATCCGTAGGCCACCTTTTGACTTAGAGCTTTGGTAATCCACTTAGCCCTAGACCCCTATCCGACCATATCTCGGAAGGTTAGCCTTGTTAGGTCTCCTGCGATCCTGCCATGATTCGAAAGGTTAACTTCGTTGGGTCTAAGGCTAAGGATACTTCGGCTTTTAAGATTTAAGATGGTGCAGGTTCAACCTTTCTGTTGTCAAGGTAGGGCTTTTCCGTTTGCGGCGACATCGGACTTTACGGTAAGTTTGGGCTGCGCCGCTGCAGGCTATGATTTCTAATACTTGATGTGCACAAAATCTGCCAGAATCGGTTTCCGCCACAGACACCTGCAGGATCACCCTGAAGGCCCTAAAGCATCCTAAACCCGGAGCCCCAAATCCTGCCAATGATTTTGCCCCAGGTGCTTTCTCGGGTCAGGATGTCGAACGCAGGACCCGTGGCGCACCATTGAATAGGCACTTCCCCCGTTTATTAAACACCCCCCTCAGAATGAAAACACATCGGGGCAGATTCCCGAAATCATCCCTGCACTTTAACACCTATTCTGAATTATGGGGGGAAGGGTTTCGAGGCTCCAAATACCCCTATAGAGCACAGTAAGAGCAAGAGCAAGAACAAAAGCAAGAGCA